CGATGCGGGCGTTGCAACCAGACTGGACATAACGTTCGTACCTGCGCGGTTGAGATAGATAGTGCAAGTGATAGCGGCGATTCTGATAATTAATTTAGTATATCGTAATAGTTTATTAACTATGATAAAAGTCTGTTGTAATAACTTGAAGTTGACGCGCTAGTGTAAAGTGGCCGACTCGCTTGGGTGGCCGACTCGCTTGTGAACCACGTTACATACAACATCAAAGCATGTTTAATGATGGCTGGTGAGCAGATGAGTGTTGCCAGGCGACACTCTTATCACGTGTAAATTGAAGACATCGCTCGTCCCTTGTACTTGTTCTGAGACTCTTGGCAGGCACTCGCGATGTATGCCGTCATAGGGCTTGCAACTAGCGGCTGACATCGACCGCACGCCACATCCGCCCCCGCATTAACTCAGCTCCGCAACCCCCATCATGGCTTCAGTCAACAGTGCACCGAGGAAGCCGAAGATCGTTAAGATTGAGCCGCTGGAAAACAAGGACGCAAAGTGGGCTACATTCATCAAGTGCGTAGCTGAATTGTCGTCCTTGGCGCACTGGCATTGAATTTTTTCCATAGGACTACCTACACTGATCCCGAAGGCGTCGAGCGCACTTGGGAGTCTGGCGAGCGCCTTACGCGACCCAAGGGTATGGATATTGACGGCGTCGGTGTTGCAGCCATTCTTCAAGATCCTGCAAAGCCAAACGACGAACCGCGCATCGTCCTCCAAAAGCAATGGCGTCCGCCAGTCAATGCCACTGTCATCGAGGTTCCGGCCGGTCTCATGGATCCTGGTGAGAGTGCTGAAATGTGTGCGCTTCGCGAGCTCAAAGAAGAGACGGGCTATGTTGGTGAACTAATCGAAGACCAAACCGTAAGTCATGTTTCTCACCTACTCACGGGAAGACATGCTGATCTTCTACCCCCCCCCCTCGCTAGTTTCGAATCAGCCCTATCATGTTCAATGGTAAGTCGTATATAGCCGGATCACCCAAGTCGATGCACTGGCATCCTTGCTGTATTTCCCACCTTAAGACTCAACATGACGATTATACAAGGGAGCTATCCGTGCCGTTCCGCGTCTCCACTAACTGATCACCCACACAGATCCGGGTTTTTGCAATACCAACTTGAGAATGATCCACGTTACTGTCGATTTGTCTCTTCCAGAGAATCGCAATCCACAGCCAAGCCTCGAGGATAACGAATTCATTGAAACATTCTCGGTTCCACTGAAAAGCCTATGGGATGAGTGCATTGCTCTCGAGAAAGAAGGGTATGCCATCGATGCAAGAGTGGGCACTTTGGCGGAAGGAATAGAGTTTGCGAAGCGATGGAAGTTCACATAGTCCAATATACAGCCAGGGATCTGGGGTAAGATGAACCTTTGGTACGCGCAGGGGTACCGTGGTTCAACTTTCGATATGACATGTGTCTAGCGGAAGAGCCCGCCTGTATATATGCATGTGATACTGCACATCCGAAACACTAGAACATGGGCAGCTACTAGTAAGGTGCTCATTTCCCATTGCTAACTCGGATAATTCTGACTGGTCGTACAACGGTGACTAGTTACTTAGGAAACTCTAAAAAGATTCAATATCATTTCCTGGCACACAATCTTTTTCCAGCTGAGTTTCTGTATCATATCCACGGCTGTATCCTTGGCAGAATGTCTTTCTCCGTTAAGTTATAGCACTGCACCGCAGCTCTCAAGCGCGCGTGCGTCAACTCAAGGAGATTTTTGCGCAATGCGCATCTTATGCTTCGTGACCATCAGTTCCAAGCTCCAGATACGGATTGCAGTCCTTCCAACTATACATTGATCCTAAGCAGAACGCTTGAATAACCTTAAGACAGATCCTTTGTCCTCTGTGGCCCCATTTGCCTTGTCCTTCTGATCCATACGCCTCGCTCTTGCTATACTGTCCACCAGCGCCTTGACCACCTCCTCTACTTCACCCCGCTCGTTCGCAGTGATTTCGAAATGCTTCGAGCCTTGGCTACTTGCCCATTGTTCCGCCATGTTTTTATCCACTTGACGTTTCGATGCATCCTCACCAACGATTACGTCGCGCTTGTTGCCAACAAGCACGCATCCAAAGCGCTTTTTAGTCACATGACCATTTACCTCTTTAGTACTAATATCGTCTCGACATGTCCAAGCATGAACATAGAACTCATGGGTCACGCTGGCAAAAGACAAGCTGCAAGTAATGTCGTATAGCAGGACTATACCGTCTGCGAGGCGGAGATATTCATCGACTATTGTGCGGTACGAGGATGCGATGGGTCCTGTGAGATCCAAGTCTATAAAAGAGAGGGTGAAGGAAGCACCCGAGTGCGAGATGCGCCGGGATAAGGGCATGGACGAGATAGCGGAGTGGGAGATGAAATGTGTGCCTTCGAGGAACTGGTACGGACAAATCAAAAAAAACAATCATCGAGAGAGGGAGAGGAAGGTTGCGCGGGCAATAGGTCACGTGCTGTGGTGTTGGACAAGAAAAGGGTGATGGTTTACCATGTCGACGAAACATGTCTTGCCCACCTGCGAATGGCCAAGCACGACGATGCGAAGTGACTCGGACTTTTTCGAGCGCAACATTATGGAAGGAAGTGGGGCTTGATTGGAGTGGGATGGTAAGGGTATGTGATGAACAAGGTTGTTGTTGGCATGAGAATGACCGATGTTGTAGTGATTGTCAAGGTGCGGAAGTAGGCGCTAAACTGCATTGGAAACATCATTAATGATTTTACCAATACAACCATAGCCGGTCCATTTCTAGGATTTTGCACTAGAAAGAATAAAGCAATGTAGATGTAGATTCGGTGTACATCTTTGGCTAGCTATGAGTAGTGGGTTGGAAGGCTCTAACAACGGTTGTGGAACCAAGTGTCAGCACTAGGTAAGGAAGTAGATGTCCAAGACTAGGGCATCACATGAATACGACGTATGCACTGTAACAGGTTTATAAAAGTCTTGTGTATTAATCTCTTGTCCCTGTATTGAGGCGTCACGCAATAGTGAAGACGAAGAAATAAATAGAGGTCTGGATAGACACCAAAAGATCAACTAACGGGTCTGACAATTCCAATAAATCGCTTGCTTTTAGAGCTTCGTTCCTATACTACAACTACTCCTTTAGACACGATAAAGACCTTTGCCCTGGTTACAATCACAGCACTTGCTGCTCTCGTCTCTGCGCACCCAGCACAGCCTGCTGTACTCGACTCGAGACAAATCCCCGTGTCATCGCCGGAAGGATGTGGGACATGCTATCACGCCAGCATCTCTCTGCCATTCAAGTGTGGGCCTGGAAGGTCTGAACAGATCTATGTAAGTAGTATTTCGTAGGGAAAAGAAGAAGGCATATGTGAGATCGGGCATGGGAGATGAGACGGCATTGCGGGTAGAGGTTCGCACGCTAACTTTGAACCTACAGGGCTCTTGTAAAGCGTGCTGTAAGAACTAGGGCTTTTCTAGGCGCAGTGTTGCGGGTGGAGTAGAGGGGGTATGGGACGAATGGTGGTTGTCAAGATGGGAGGGAAATGTTTGATAGGGCTAAGTTGTATATGAGAGGAAAAAAATATGAAAAAAAAAATCGATAAATTTTCAGCATCTCTGAGAATTTCGATTATGTATCGAAGTCCCAAATATGTATGGATTGGACGGGTTTGTTTCCTCGGAGGGGTGGCCCAGGAATTGGCCGATTGCCAATGGAGAATAGTACTGGGCGCAGCAAGCTGCGACGACGCGAAACAGTAGGGGCGGTCTTATTGTGAGGCTTTCCGCGTCCAACATGACGGAGTCTGCCACACTGCCCCTGGCGCATCTGGCCACTATTCTCTTGTTCGCTCGAGCACTGTCGCCACTCACTTACATACCACTACATTGGCTCGGGGGTACAAGCGGTGAAGAATTTAGAACCGCGAATCCGAGGTGCAAACCATTCATTGGCTTTGCTTCCACCACCAACACACACGCACTACAAGACAAGCAACACAGCGCAGGCGCCGTCTCTTGCATATAACAGTGTCGTGATCCACTGTGTCGCGTAACGCCGTGAACGACGTATCAAGAAAGAACATTACCAGACGTATACAGCGACACGTCGCACACCCACCGGCCCTATGACGTACCGCGACCACAACCTACATGCATACCCGCCCACCCGGCCACGGCCCCTCATCGAGCAAATACCAGACTATCGTGAAGACCTCGATGTATCAGACGAGGAAGACGGATTCTACCAACGCGAAGACGACTTCTTCCTCCCACCGAAGGTCCAGGCCGCCATCCTCCGCACAACCGATCGCATCCCCCGGAGAATCAAGCGCCACTGTGCCGCATACATTCTCGTCTTTTTCCTGGCCATTGCCAGTTGGTGGACATACTTTGGCCCGCGTCGCGCTGCATTTGTCCAGGAACTGCATCTGATGGACCACGCGCCAACCATGAGCTACGGCAGCCAGGTGCGCCCCGAGTTCAAGGGCATGATCCAGGTTACGGACATGGACGAGCAGCATTTGCCCAAGGAGAACAAGCGCCTCATCTTCATCGGCGATGTCCACGGCTGCCGCGCCGAGCTCGAGCATCTCCTCAACAAGGTCGCCTTTGACCAGTCGCGCGACCACATCGTCATGACGGGCGACATGATCGCAAAGGGCCCAGACTCTGCCGGGGTCATCAAACTCGCCCGCAAGTACGGCGCCTCATGCGTACGCGGAAACTGGGAAGACAAACTGCTCCTCTCCATTGCCGAAGCCCAAGACCGCCACGTCCTCGTCATGCCCACATCCGACTCGGACGACTCGTCAAAACTCGACTTTGTCGGCGCACCCACCGCCTCCCAGGGCAACGCCAAGCTGCGTAAACTCGCAAAGCAATTCTCCAAAAAAGACATCGACTACCTCCGCCAGTGCCCCGTTATCCTCCGCGTCGGCACCGTACCCACCCTCGGCTCCCTCGTCACCGTGCACGCGGGTCTCGTCCCCGACATCCCGCTCGAGCATCAAGACCCCTTCCACGTCATGAACATGCGCAGCATCGACCTCAAAACGAGAATTCCATCCTCCAAGCACAATGGCACCCCCTGGGAAAAATTCTGGAACCATCGCCAGCAGAAACTAAAGGCTAAAGAACGTACCACGGCGGTTTATGGCCATAATAGGAAGAAGGGACTTAATGTTCATGAATACTCGTTTGGCCTCGATACCGGGTGTGTTAGTGGCGGCAAGCTTACGGCGCTTGTGGTGGATGGGGAGGGGAAGTCGGAGATTGTACAGGTCAAGTGTGGGGTTGAGGGGGGTTATGGGAGTGAGTAGGGTTTAATCAGGTGTCAACTTACTCGGACTTTTATGTTGGGGTAAATACTGTTTGCATCTTTATGGCGTTTTTTTTTGTTTTTTTTGTACGATAGTTTGGATAGATGAGTGGGTTATGTTGTAAGCCATTTTTACACGCAGGTATGTGACCGACTTCATTTGTCGGTGTTGAGTAATTTTGGATAGCATAGTGTTGTAGACTGTTTGTTACCATCAAAGCAAAAATAAAGAAACCATATCTATCTCGTTTCTCCATGTAGAGTGACAGTAGTGGAAGATAAGCTAAAAGTACTGCGAGGATTTGAAAGGGATGTTGAATGGTGGATTTATGTGAAGTAGGTGTGGGCATCTGATGGACGATGGATATCGAAGTGTATTGTGTGTAAAACGCATACGGGTTCCGGGTACGAGCATTCTAGAAGCAATAATTCCACGGCAGAAACTAATAGCTCTATGGATTTTATTTTTTTCAAAAAAAAAACACTTGGTTACGTTTTCTTCACCCCATCAGCTGCAATATCGTGAAAGTAGTTCAAGTAATTGTTTCCTGTATAAATAACTGACTTGTTTATTTTTATCTCTATTTACTATATAGCGTATAGGATTGATTATCTGAGAAAATAATAGTGTACCACACCCTAACCTGCTAGAATCGGGTATCAAAAAAAAATGACTTTGCAGTCAGGGTAAAAGGGTTCGAGCGAGTGTCTCACTGATCCTCATTCGAATCCTTTTACCCTGACTGCAAAGTCATTCTTTTGATACCCGATTTCGAGTTTTCAGAGATGTGCTAGTAATGATGGGGATTGTTTTTCTAGCTCTGAGCTGGAGTAATGAGGCTCTATGTTGGGATAGTGATTGTTCTAGCTTAATATTTAGAGCAGCTTGGATGCATGGCAATCGGCGACTGGAGTGTTCGGTAGTTATGGCGGTGGGTAGCTGGAGCGAGCGGATTAGTCGGGTTGGCTAGCAGCCACAGTAGTTGGTGGTTAGAATGGTTTATTAGTGAGTGTAGGGTCTTGTTACAAAGGAGACAATTGGTTGTATATGTTGAGATAGGACCCCAGAATGTTACGGAGTGGGCGATTCGTGTTTATTTTTCATCGCTAAGATTGTATGAAGAATTGATTCGAAATGAGGTGAGCTCCTCTGTTTTAGAGAGAGAGGGGATGCAAGACAGGATAAAATAGTGTACGAGATACTAAATGTATAGATACAAGCAAGACCAAAAAGAAGATTGTTGTTGTCGTTGGCTTCAAGTCCCATCCCAAAATATTCCTTGGAACATGTGGACGGTCCAAGCCCAGGATTGACAGTGGCAAGACACCGCCTAGTTTGCCTATCTGTAGAGATCATGCACCAGATACTGGTATACCAAATTATGAACTGCTATTGTTTCAAGTTAACATTAAGACAATGCATCAATCGCAAATCAAGTCGAAATGATCCAAGCAATAGAGTTGACATTTCCTAGAAACAGCAGTGTCTTGCTATAGCTACCCCGCTGTCTAAGTAGCTGTTGTATCTGAAGGGACACATAAATCTTGAAAAATACTGTGGCGGAAACCTCTATATGCAATAAATGGGTCAATGGAGAGATATAAAGATACAGGTAAGATCAAATATTTATGAATGTAGACATAACCACCCGCAGATCACTGAATTTAATTAAGCCCATGGACCTGAATAGCATTGTGAGATACTATTATATGACAAACAGTGCGTGTTTCTCCATTCTCTGCTGTGCAGATCCAGGAGGCAAAGCAAGCAATTTCAAGGGCCTTGTGACAACACTGCAAAACTTCAAGATAACCCGAACCGGCTCATATGATAGATCTGTCACCACTGCCGGGAACGAAGAAACAGGGCAGGAGGAGGAGGTATATACATGTCCTTACACCTCTCTTTGAGGAAGGAGTGAGGGAAAAGTGAGAAGCACTTCTGTGCAATATAGTTTCTGTCTTAAAGAACACAATGTACACCCACAAGCAAACTATGATGAGAACTTGTAGAGGTAAACACAAAAATACAGAGCATTCCTGCCAAAATGAAGAGCTGTCTTAAGAGAATTATGTCCTGCAACACTGAGAACTCAAGTCTCGTGCAAGGCAGCTCAATGGACTCTCCTGAAGCACTGTCAGCACGGTACAGGCTCAATCATATGATCAAGTGTATCTTCTTTCATCAAAAGATCTGTTAGTTAATGGAAGCACCGTCACAACACACTTGCATCGTTATTCTAATTTCTCATTGCAAAAGTCTGCTTGTAGACGAGCCAGTAAACAAACCTCCACACCACCACTTCCACTCATAACAAAGCAAAGTCGGAGAAGAGAACAAGCTCGCCTCCGATCGATGCGCGTATTTCCAGCAATACGTCAGCGGCTGATACTCCACACTCAACTACACAGTCATCATTCATGCAATCAAGCCTTCTTCACGTCTTGTCCCGTTCTCTCCATCTCACCTCCACCGTATACGCACCGCTTGCGCCATATACTTACAGTCGTACACCGAACATACGCCCTCCCCATGTACCTTGTCAAAAGCCTCATCACTGTTACACGCTACAAAAGTCAAAAGTCGCCCCACAAACGCGGTTCGGTACAAACCGGATTACCCGGGATTCACCCTTTTTGCTCTTCTCCCAACCCAAACACGATAGGGAGCTTATGTAGCTAGCTGTGGCTAGGCAACACGGGTCAACTGACGTGAGCGCGGGAAGAAGACCCGGCAGAGTAAGTGAAAGCCGGGGATCTGCATCGTGGGTTCTATGTTTTGCAGCAAATAATAAGGGAGATACTTTGTGGTCGTCGGCTGGAATTCGGAGGAGCTGTCTGGGGGGAATGGGAACGTGGTAAGAAGGGGGGGGGGGGGGGGTTGAATGTTGTACTACGTACTTAGTATTTTCAATAAAGTTTGATGGGAGCGGCAATCATGTGCCGTGGTTTTTTTGGTGGAAGATCTGCGCTTTGGGGTGACTTGGCGTACATACAAGCGGGGACAACTTGGGCTGCATACGAGTGGAGACTGGAAAATATTGAAAGAGGTTCAACTGGATTGGATGAATTCTGGTGTGGTTGTACAATAGTATTAACGTAGATTAATAATTAGACATGGGGTAGTTTGCACTCGGCCATCTAGGTTTTTCACCTTGTCATGCTGATCTAAAGGCTGGATCCAGCTTGAGTTGCTCCCGGGAACTGCTTTTGCAGAGCATCCCAAAGCGGCTCACCGCCCTCAGTCAGATCCTTCCAGGCGGGGCAGGACAAACTCAATAGTGGTTGTGCAAGCGTGTCGGTCACTAGCCTAATCGGAACATCGAGCGTCGAGAGGAGTCCAGAGAGCGAATTAGGTAAAAAGGTCTTGAGCACCTCGAATACGAAGCAGAGGAGGTTGTTGTTCTCCAATAATGTCGTGAGGTTGACCACGCCGCTGGAAATGTCACCGAGATCGACGCCAGTGAATGAATTCACTTTGCCAGTATTACCGCCAATGCTGCAGCCAAGTGTTAGGTACTGATGAGTAGACTTGCAGAGCGGAATATCATGTGTACGTACCTGCCAAGAACAGGGTATTTCAAGACCCAGCTGACAATGTCCAAGTTAAGTGGGACCAAACCATATTCGATTGTCCTGCGGTACCAGTTGTTGGGAATGGTCTCGTGTCCCTTGCGGTATTCAAAAGTTCCATTGTCCTTCTTGAAAACACCAAAGAAGCTTCGAAAAACCTCTTGGGTCAAAATGCCATCGGGATGCTCGGCTGTGTGGTTGGATAGGAGGCGGCCAAGGAAGAAGTAACCGGCGTTGCGACTGACCATGCCACTGACAGGACCATAGTAGAAGTTTGGGTTGGTTTGGACGCTTTGCACCCAGCGACGAGCAGCTTGATTGGCGAGTAGATCCATGGAGAGCACACCATTTTTGTCGGCACGGTCGTGGAAGTCCATGAACAATGTCATGTTCATGGTCGCGGCATCGCCCGTGACATAGAGATCATTGCGTGTGAGCGACGAGTCCGACTCGAGCCAGTTATGGGAACCCGAAAGACCTCGAGGCTTGCCTAGTAACGCCAAGAGCATGAGTGACTGTTGTTTTACATTGTAGTTTGAACACACGATGACATACCCAAAAGTCCAATTAGGTTGCCCAACAGGTTTTGCCCCACGAGTCCAGTGGGTGGACCTCCGATGGAGAAACCAGGATTTAGCGACAGTGGGTTGCCGGTCCAAACAGTTCCCATGATACCAAGAATGAGAGAGAGTTCTAAACCCATACCCATGACTATAATATCAAAAGGTTAGAAAATTATTCCACCCCCGAGTTATATGCGATTGGCGAAACAGACCTTGGTTGATGGCGGTAACGACTTCTGCGAAACTAGTGATACCAGTGCGAGAAATGTAGCCATGGTTTGCCAGGGCGTTCAGTCCAGGGCAAGGACCGCGCTCGTCGGTGGACTTGGGAGCCTGAAATGCATGTCTTCCAGAAACATCAATGGGTTTGGTGATGTCAATGATGAACCTTTTCTCCTTTTGGTAGTCTTCTACCGACCGGATTGCTGCATTTAGCTTCTCCGGCGTTAGGCCATGCAGGCGGCGGTGGTCAAGAGAAGGAAAAGCGTTAACGACACTTTGCCCCAGCGAAAGAGTGAGAAGAGCAGTTGAGAGTTTCATAATGAGCGACTAAAAGTTGGTAAAGAAAAAAAATCACTTGAACGGGTGTTTGGGAATTTAGAATTAATCTGAGATGGATGATTGAAAATCAGTCGCTATTAGCCAGTAGGCAATGGGCAATTAGTGATTCAACGTCAGTCCCCAAGGGTGCCCGGTGGGGAAAGATCTGTGGGGCGTTATGCGAGCGGCGGGATCCGGATACATAAAATCCGCAAGGTACCTACTCAGTATCTTGTCAGCGGGCTCGGTGTGTCGGTGTGACCTTGCGACCAAAGCAGTATATCGCATGGCTGGGCAGGAAATGAATGGGGGCGAATCCTCATTT